CTTGCCGGTCGGGTCCACGCCCTCCTTGCCCGCAGGCCTCCGAGTCCACAAACCGTGCGGCGTCCACGGCCGGGTTTGCCTCCCTTTGGGAAAGGCGGCGCTGGTGTTGGGTGGGCCTCGCTTCTGGCCGGCAACTTTTCTAGAAATTTCAAGCCTGTGCTGACCAGCTCTGAGATTGCTAACCAGAGTTTATTTCAGCCGTCTTCCTGGCAGAAGAAAGGGCCGGAGGGTTGCTAGCCTGCGCCGGTGTTCCCAGGAGCACGGACGCAGGGGATCTTCACATTTCGCCGTAGTGAACTCTCTCCCCCCGCCCCCAATTCAGTGCTTGGCCTTTTGGTGCCATTTTTGCCATTTCGCATCATTGCCGTTGTGTATGTCATTCTGCTTGACGTCTTCTCGGTCATCTGTGAATCCATCTGATGCTAGTAGGCAAATTCATAGTTGTCTTTCAGCCATTAGTGTCTTATCTTGCACGCGGACCAAGAATAAAGGTTCTGTCCAGCTAGCAGGAGTGTGTTCAGTATATGTGTGTTGAAATCAACTGACTTAAAACATGTTAGACTGTGGAAAGAGCATTCACGCGTCGCTAATTTAGAACCAGTGGCATTCACATAAAATTCGAGATTGAAGTTCCAGAAGCATTTTGCAGCATATTCATTCCGGGCTGAGAAAAGCTAGTTAAAGACCCTTGCACAGCTTGTCTTTGCAATCCATCTATCTAAGAAGTATATCCGGGCGGGCACTGTGGCCAAAGCCTATAATTTCAGCACTTTGGGAGGCCAAGGCAGGAGGATCACTTGAAACCAGATGTTCGAAACCAACCTGGGCAACAAGGCAAGACCCTGTCTCCACCAAAAAAAAAATATCTTTTTTTAAAGAAATAAATTAGTTAACATCAATTACATTTTATTGTGCAATTTCTTTGTTTTCTAGGCAGCACGTTTGCTGTTTAAACTGGCTAAAGGTGCTGGTGCTATTCTTTTTAAGGGACTAGAAAAATAATTTAATAATTTATAAAATGCCAAGCTTTCGCTTTTTTTTTTTTTTTTTTTTTTTTTTAGGGAGGCAGAAAGTTATTTCCTCCTTTAAGGAATGCAGGATTTCACTTCAGCAAAATACTAGATCTAAGTTGTGTTACTCAGTACTGTTTTTGCTTCCAAGTCTGCTGAAAAGGCTTTTGTTTTTGTAAACTTGTTCTATGGATCACTTGTTAAATAATGCCAAACTTAATCCTGTGATCCTATTAGTTTTCTGTTTCTTCCTTTCTTTCCTTGTTTATTATAATTTGACCTGCCTCCCTAACAGTGTCAGCCATGATTGTTTTCCTATAGCAGTGCCATAGAGGTGGGAAAGAACTGTGTAGTAGCCAATTCCCTGTGAAAGGACTGTAAACATACTGCTGAATCAGTGCATATCAAAACTTGGCACCCTTAGATATGGGGGGATGGAAATTCTGGAATTTTACACAACGGTTTAGATATTCTATAAGCTTACCTTATGCTCTGCTCAGCAGTTGTAGAATTTTTTTTAAAATGTGATACTTGTCAGATGTTGCTCCATGCTAAAGTCCAGTCCACATAGACAGTGCACCATTATCCTCAGATGCTATAAGCACAGATGTTCTACAGGATAGACTTTTAAGGCCCACAAATTGTGTGTAATTTTAGTGAAGGTATTCATTAAATAACTCTGATTATTTCTGTGTTCCTTTGTTAGACTTTCTGTATAAATACTTATACCTATACAAAGACAGTTCTTTGTCAGGCCATACGTGTTCTCCTCCTTTGGACTTAGAAAACAATTTGTTGACAACATGTAACTGAGCTGTTTATAAGACTCCAATCCCCTTTTGAGATTTTGAGGGTATGGAATGATATATTTCAATCTTTCTGTTTCCTCGGGGTCTAGAACAACTAAGTGTTCATTAAACTAAGTGTTCATTAAATTAAGTGTTCATGAATCATATTTGTTCATTGTTCAGTAAGCTCTGATTACTTACTTAGTGCTAAGTATGTTAAGAGATTGTGGAAAAGAATGTTAACAAGACAGGCAATGGGTGTACTCATGAAGTGTACAGAGCAGTGTGAGGGAAAGACCAAAACAAAAAACAAAAAGTCAAACAAAAAAGGTCCAAAGTGTGATACGTGCTAGGAAGGAAGCAGAGCACTGGAGCCAGGTTATAACAGAGGAGGAGAGTTTACTGATTACAGGCAAAAAGGTTACAATAGCCATGGAGCTTTGATCAGTATTAAACTGACAGATGATGGAAATTTTATACAGTTTACAGTTTTCACTGTTGCTATTATGATTTATGAAAACATATCCTCAGTTAACAAATTGTTTTGGCTGTGCTCTAAAATTACCGGTTTCTTTATAAGCTCACTGATTGCTTTCCATTACATCAGAATAAAATCTCAACTCTGCCATGGTTCTGTGTTGTCTGACTCTTCAGACTTCATTTTATCTCACTATTCCATCTGGTGTCCTCCTGTCCATCTGTAGTTATCTCTCATGCACCTGAACAAGGCAAACTCCTGCCTCAAGCCTGTTCTATTTTCTTGGACTGTTGTTCCTCCTGCTTTTAAACTATCTGGCTCCTTCTTTTCCTCTGAGTTTGATATAAAAGCTACTTGAGAGACTTCGTCCTATTTAAAACGTGTATCCCCAACTATTTTCTGGCTCGACACTTAGTTTTCCTCATAACGCGTATCACAATATGAAATGTTATTTGTTTGTTTACCACTTTTTAGTTCTTTTCCCACTGTATGTAGGAGCTAGGACCATATCTGTCTTGTTCACTACAATCAGGTGTGTGACTGAATGCATCTGGAGCTTGGAATCTTCCTCATAAAGACTTTTATGGATCAGGCATAGTGGCTCATGCCTGTAATCCCAGCACTTTGGGAGGCCAAGGCAGGAGGACTGGTTGAGCCCAAGAGTTCAAGACGAGCCTAGGCAACAGAGCCAGACCTCATTTCTACAAAAAAAAAAAAAGAAAGAAAAAATTAGCCAGACATGGTGGCATACACCTGTAGTCCCAGCTACTCAGGGAGGCTGGAGCAGATTGAGCCACTGCACTATAGTCTGGATGACAGAGCAAGACCCCAACTAAAAAAACAAACTTGTGACTGGTGACTAGGTTTCTAGGCTAGCCAGCAATAATTTTAATTTCTTACTTTTTTTCTTTTGTTGTTTGTACTGTGGTCAGAAAATGACTTTTTTTTTTTTGCTCACCCTTTTAGGCATAGACTGACTCCATATAAAAATCTCAAGTGGCTAAAATAATTTTGTAGTATGTATACCTTCTTTCCATATTTCCATCCCACATCCTTATTCCCTTTCTCTGATCTGTCTGTTGTAGCCACTTCCCCTACCCTGCTTCATTGAGATATGCTTGTTTTTCACATTTGCTAAAATTCAAGAAATCCTGCTTTTCTGAAATGGTTTTCATGGCAATTTCATGGATTTCAGATGTGATGGGAAGAAGAAAGAGTGGAGGTGGGACTGCGGCAGTGACAGCAACCTCTGTGACTATTTGTATGTATTGGAAGTAAAGTAGACATTTGTATGTCAGGGGCTCTAAGTATCTGAATTTATATTTGCAGTGTTGTTGCTAGTTGCTAGAGCTTCACAGAAACAAAGTTACCAAATTGAAATGTTGGCAAAGAAAATCTTCAAAAACTCTTTGCCTCTTCTCATGCATGAACTTACACAATAACTAGACCTAGAAAGGCTTTGTCAAAATGTAGATTTTTCTGAAAGAAAAATAGAAGGTTAAAAAAAAATCTAGGTCACAGGGGAAACTCAGAAGGAAAGTATCAGTTTAACAACTAGTCCTGCCAAATGGTCAAACTTAAAACCATTAGGATCAGTTGCTTATAGCTGTTTAGTGCCAAAAGCAAGCTAGCTCCCAAAATAACGCCTTTTTTTTTTTTTTTTAACAGTGGGAGAATGGAACACTACAATAATAAATACAAATGGCATTGATTAAACTTTTAATTTCTATTTTAAGTGGAATTCCATGGGAGTGGAAAATATGAAAATATAACACTAAATCTGACTGTAAAAAAACTGGCTACCATGAAGCTGAGTGTTTTGTTGGTTATCTATCTGTCATTGATCTCAAGTGATCGCATCACCAGTTGTTTAATATTGTATAAACATTGGTTAAAAACAATTGTTTGTTTGTTTTATTTTTTTGAGTCAGCATCTCTGTCACCCAGGCTGGAGTGCAGAGTCACAAACAATCATGACTCACCACAGCCCCCTGGACTCAGGCTATCCCTCCTCAACCTCCCGAGTAGCTGGGACTACAGGCATGTGCTACCATGCCCGGCTAATCTTTTGATTTTTTTTGTAGAGAAGGTCTTGCTATGTTGCCCCAGGTTGAAAAACAGTTTTAACAATAACTTTGTGATACAGTTGTATGGAAGAATTATTCAAAATAGTAAGAAATTAGGCCGGGTGCAGTGGTTCATGCCTGTAATCCTAGCACTTTGGGAGGCCAAGGCAAGAGAATTACCTGAGCCCAGGAGTTTGAGACCAGTCCAGGCAACATGGTGACACCTCATCTCTACAATAAATGGAGGGAAAAAAGCAGCCGGGCATGGTGGTGTGCACCTGTAGTCCCAGCTACTTGAGAAGCTGAGGTAGAAGAATCACCTGAGCCTAGGGTGTTTGAGGCTATGGTAACTGTGCTCATGCCACTGCACTCCAGCCTGGGTGATAGAGTGAGACTCTGACTCACCCAAAAAAAAAGTAAGAAATTAGCTTTGATTTGCCTCCTCAGTTTGAAATATTAAATATTTTATTTCAGGGTACCTCCCTTGAATAAATTGTGGCACCGATTTTTTTGTTGTTGAGATTTTAAAGTATTTATTTAAGGACATTAACTTAACTATGGTGACTATTTCCTGAACCACATATTGAGATACATGATTGACAGAGGTTTTGGATACTACCCTCAGGTCATTACTGACATCGAAATTTTGGGATTTCATATCTGTGAGAATCTAGGGAAGTCTTGATCTTTATGTGACACCAACATTGTGTTTACACATCCTGTCTGGCTATGGGCTGAGTGTCCCTCTGGCTGGTACCCTCTTGTCTGTGTGCTTACTCATAAGCCAAGTGCCTGTATTTCATGTGTCCTGTGTGGTGCTTCCCAGGGTGTTTGTGTGGCATGGGCTCTTAGTCCTGTGGCCATGGCCCAGTCTCAGTCTGGTGTCTCCAATGCTGGGGAAAGGGGCTCACTGCTCTGGCCTACCACAACTGCCTCTAGGCCTTGGCCTGCCTTTGCTGCATTCCAAGGGGTGTGTGACCCCTGCTTCTTTCACTGCTGGCCTTCACTGGCCCTGGGCTCTCCTTTCACCCAGGATAGGACCTGCCACTCTCAGGAACACTCTGCCAAGGCAGAATAAACTGGACCCTGTCACAACGAAAAAGACAGCTGGGCATGTTTTGCTAGTAGATTCATTGTTAAGATGTCCTGAACCCTGTATCACTGTATTCTGAATTTCTTTTTTTTTTTTTCTTTTTGAGTTGGAGTCTCACTCTGTCACCCAGACTGGAGCAGCCTCGACCTGCTGGGCTCCGGCGATCCTTCTGCCTCAGCCTTCCAAGTAGCTGGAACTACAGGCGTGCGCTACCACGCCCGGTTCATTTTTTATTTTATTGTAGAGATGAGGTCTCGCTAAGTTGCCCAGGCGGGTCTCGAACCCGCGGGCTCAGGCAGTCCACTCACCTCAGCCTCCCAAAGGCGTGAGATTACAGGCTGAGCCACCGAGCCCGGCAGTATTATGAATTTCTGTAGTGTCTATTAAAATTCATTCTTTCTTTTTTTAAGTGCTGTGGCCTGTCTTCTTCCTCCTGATCACTGTGGGTTTCCCACAAGATTTTTTGTTCTTTTTTTCTCTCCATACGTAATTCCTTCAAGAACTTTTCTACTTTCTAGTCTTTAACTAGACTTGAGCTTTTAAGTTGACAACTTGAAATTTTCATCTTACCCAAACTCGAGTCTAAAACATCTCTACTTAAAAGTTTTATTTATATCTTCACTTTCTACTGTCATCCTCAGTTCCCCTTCCCCCTACCACCACCAGAGCCAAAATATAACAAACTGAATTTCTTTCCCAACTAACACCTTTGACAGCAGTACCACTAGTCTTTATCTGATGACTCCTTTTTCGTTCTGCTTCTTCATCTCTCATGTCTAATCTCTAAGTACTTTCTGCTAATTCTTTCCAAACAGAAATTTCTTATATACTTAACCATCTTTTATATTTCCATTTTTACCACCCTGCTCTAGGCCCTCACCACTTCAAACTATTGAGATCACCTTACTAATTTTTAATTGTTGTCAGTGCTTTCTGCATTCTGATAAACGTATATAGCTACCGTATTAATCTTGAAAATACTCATGTAATTATTTTCTTAAGCTGCTTAATTATAATAATTATGTCATCTCTGATCTTTTGTAAATCAAGTACAAATACTTCAGGGATTAAATGCCAGATTCTTTATCAACAATCATAATTTAACTCATTTATACTTTTTTTCTTTCTACCTCCTCAGTTCATCAGGTCACTCTGCTTAAAAGAGGCTTCTTAAAGTTAATTTTTTTCCTTGCTGTTTATCCCTCCTAGAATGTCATCTGTGTCCCTTTCAACCACAAGAAGTTTCATCTTATTTTATTTTATTTTATTTTATTTTTTGAGTAGGAGTCTCACTCTGTTGCCCAGGCTGGAGTGCAGTGGCAAAATCACAGCTCATAGCAGTCTCAACCTCCTGAATCCAGGAAATTCTTCTACCTAAGTATCTGGGACTGTAGTTGCTTGCAACCATGCCCAGCTAATTTTTTTTATTTTTTGTAGGGATGAGGTATTGCTGTGTTGCCCAGGCAGGTCTCAAACTCCTGAACTTAAGCAATCCTCCTCCTACTCGATCTCCCAAAGTGCTAGGATTACAGACATCAGCCCCCACGCCAAAACTATCTTTTGATTTAAACAGAAACCTTGTGTTCGTTTGAATACTTACCAGCTATGTGATTTGGACAAGTTAATTAGCCTCGCTGTGCCTTCATTTTTAGTAAAAATTGGGATAATTAATAGTCCCCACCTTCTAGGGTTATTGTGAGAATTAAATGAATTAATATAGTATATTAAAAGTGCTTAAAGTTTTTATATAAAGTAAGTGTTCAGTAAATGTTAGATATTATCATTAAATAAAAACTTGTTTAAGACCCATTTTATAAAGTAATTCCTCTGATATTAATACTAAGTTGCTAGGCTTGGGATTTCAATTTCCATATATGTGAAACAATTAGATCATTTCTAACATTTGTTGTAATACTGAAAGCAGTGTGAGATAGATTATGAGTTTCAAAGTCAGAAGAATTATAAGATAACAAGAAGCATATTACTACTAAAATCCCTTAATATTTTTTACTTGAAGATGAGGTTATACAACTTCAATAAGAACTAAAACCAAAATCAAGTCCTCGGCTTTCTGGTCCTTTTTGATATTTATTATTCTGCTAGCGTTAAGTTTACTGATATTGGCATAATATATAAATAGTGGCTGGCAAATGTATCTTCTTTTCTTTTTTTCAGGTAAGCACCAACCACAAAAATCTACGAAAGAAAATAAATTAGTCTTCAAATATAAGAAAACCAAGATCCATGAGTGGGCATCGGTCAACAAGGAAACGATGTGGAGATTCTTACCCGGAGTCCCCTATGGGCTTCGGGCATATGAGTACTACAGGGTGTGTATTAAATAAGTTGTTTCAGTTACCTACACCACCATTGACAAGACACCAATTAAAACGGCTAGAAGAACACAGATATCAGAGTGCTGGACGATCTCTGCTTGAGCCCTTGATGCAAGGGTACTGGGAATGGCTTGTAGGAAGAGTTCCCTCCTGGATTGCCCCAAATCTCATCACCATCATTGGACTGTCAATAAACATCTGTACAACTATTTTATTAGTCTTCTACTGCCCCACAGCTACAGAGCAGGTAAGAGGAATTTCTTAACAAATCTCAATGCTCGTTAAATACCAGAAACATTGTGCTTGGGATTTTGAGGTCACTTTAACTAAAGATAAAATAACCTTGACAGCTGTCAACTAATTTAGACTACCACACACACTGTGATAAAGCTGATAATACTCTATACACTATAGCTTATTAGAAACCAGAAGCAAAGTATAGACTCTGGTCCTAGTAGGTAAATTAATGTTAACAGGGACTTTTTTTTTTTAATATCTCAGTTATATTTTTATAACTCCCCAGTTTGTTTTCAGAACAATCTTTTCTGACATACGTCCATGTGAATTTCAAATTGATTATTTCAAAGTACACATAAATTACCTATATTTGCCTAAAAATTTATTAAATCATGAAAGAATAAGCATATCAGTATTCAAGCATGCCTACAAAATACAACTTTTTCCAACTTTTAAATTATTTCTTCCCACCTAAGCCAATTTGTATTTGACATCTGGGTTACAAGTACATAAAAAACACACACATTCCTCAGTGCTATGTGTTAAGCCAGCATAAACATGTCCTTTCTGGGTGTAAGTTTTCAGAGGGAAAGTGGTACGAATAAGAGCAAATGAGTCAACCTCTTCATGAAATAAACTAGACCCAAATCAAGAAGTTTTAAAGTTGCTCAAGACTGAGACCATAAATCTTTCTTTCCTATTTCTTACACATGTAAGTGTGCACGATGGGTGTGCATGAATTAAAACACTCCTGTTCAGATTGTGAGCTCCTACAGGAGGGGGCTACTGTCACCCCATAAAAGGGGAGAAGCAGCACAGGGGAGCAGAGGGCACCTGTCCTTCATCAAGCCATCCACACAAACCTACTGAAGAGGTAGACTAGATCATCTAAGCCTCAAGGCTGAGAAGTTGACCTGGACCAAGTGATGTTTTACTTCATTGTGTTTTATTTTGTTGTTATATATGTTGTTTGTCCCACTATTTCTGTAACTGGGGCAAAGTGAGAGGTTCAGATAGTCTAAGAATGCTTAATATACCCCATAAACTGTCGGAATCAAAGATTTTTATTTATTCTTCTGCCAAACACAACAGATCTCTATCTACCATTATTTTTTAAGGTAAGAAGCAGTAAGTCAACTGAAGAAAGCGCTGCAGCCTTGGACTGTAAAATTATTACATTTTAGCATGCTGACTGAAAAATGCAGGGCGTCGGTGGGGTCTAGAGGACGGCCACATCAGGGCTTGGCCAACCTTAGTGAGCCTTCTCCAAGAATGCTCTGCAGCACCTGACATATTGCTGGTACAACTGTCTCAAAGTCAGAGTCATTTCCATAATAGGGATCTTCAATAATAAGTTGTTTTTGTGGATCATAGCTCCCAAGTAGTTCAATTTTAGGTTTGCAGTTTTTAACTTGATTACTTTTTCTATTCAAATCTCTCAGGTTGCTTTCATCCATACATAGTATGTAATCAAATGTGGCGAAGTCTTCTTTGGTAATCTAGACACACAAACAGCACCAACTTGGTCACCGGCTCTGCCATCTTCCCTCACACTTAGGCACCTGAAGACCATGTCACTATGGGGACCTTTTAAAGTCACTAAATCTCAGTTCTTTACAAAAGAGTTTTATTGTGTCTTTTAAATGGCTATATAATGTCTTAGCAAAATTAGAAATTATTAGAGAGAAAGGTGTCTCTCTGAGGATGGTATGACTGTAAGCCAGTCTTAGCAAGTGTTTTCCTCTCTATTCCAATAAGAATTATTAAATTTCCTTTTTCTCTTCCTATAAACTTGTGTGGCTGATAGACATCAGGTATATTGCTTATTATTCTAACAATTGTGGCAAAGGAAGTGTAAGAAAATGTCGGTATAATGTATTTCCTGTTCTGTATCCTGCTCTGGCTGCCGTTAAGAAAGGCTCACCTGAGAACCTGACTGCTGCTTCCAAAGGAGTTTGGTCCAGATAACAGATCCTTAGAGATATAGTAGAATAATAGGCAGATGGGTTGATTCCAGTGAAAGATCTCCAGTAATCCTAAGCTAATTCTAGGATGGGGTCAGTGAGTGAGAGCAGGTTCAAAGATCACTTAGTCACCAGTAGTCATTTATTGAACACCCAGAGTATCCCAGACACTATGTTCCCATTTAAAACTTTCCTCACCCTCTGTTAAGTGATTTGGAATCGTTGGAGTAACTTTAGAAGTAATTAAACATTTGGGGAGACCTCCAGAATGGGAGCTATTCTGATCACTGGAAACTCTTCAGAATTGCTTGTGGGAAGAATCAATATGACCTAGCCACTGTTTGTTGCTCTACAAGGGAAGGAATGGTTACAAAGGATATGCCTTGATGCATTTACAGCTGTGTGGTAGAAATCCTTGTTAGGCTCAATCAGAATGCATTGAAATAGGTCATGGCTGTCTTCCACAATAGGGTCTTATTACTAAGGATCTGTGATCTTCTGTAAGACATGTAACCTCTCCAAGTCATACTTTATCTTTTAAAATCTTATTTTGTGGCATTATGATGATCACATGTTTAGGGAGTCTCCTGTATAATGTTCAAAATGATAGATGGTTATTGTTTCATTGCTTAAAGAGATTGTTTAACCTATTCTCTATGACCCCTTTTCATTTCTTGTTTCCTCTAATAATACATAATTCATGGAGTCCCAAATTCATCTAAGTACTTATTGAATTTCTTATATGTTTTTTATCAGCATTTTTGGAGTTAAAAAGTTCCATAAATTTATCACCCAGAGAAATTTTCATTTGTTATATCTCTAATTCTTGTGGGCCTTGTTCCAGGGGGTGAGCATTAAGTATTGATTGTCTACATGTATAGTATTATGAATTTTCCATATTTTTTATGTTACTAATTTTTTTTTAATGGATCAGAGTTTCAAATACCAATCTTTCTGGTAGAAAAGAAGATCACTATTGTAATAGTTTCAGCTGAGCTTGATTTTTGTTAGAAAAAGCAATCTTCTGGTAGACAAGAAAGGAAAGTAATTAGTTCTTATTTTTCTAATTCTTAAAGTAAAAATGTGGACTTCTCTCTTTTTATGTAAAGTACCAAAACATCCCCTTGCTCTGTTACTAAGTATTTAAACTTCATTAGTTAGTAGCTTTGATTTTAGTGTCATAAGTTAATTTGGAATTTGAGTTGCAGCTTGACTTATGTTAATATGCTTGAGTTAACCTTGCCACATAAGACAGATAAAGGAAATTGGTGTTAACCTATTTTATACACATGAAAAGCAGAACTGAGCTATACCATTACCAAAAAGAGCTGTCCATTTTATTTTATTTATTTTATTTTTTTATTTTTTGAGTTGGAGTCTCACTCTGTCACTCAGGCTGGAGTGCAGTGGCACGCTCACGGCTACCACAGCCTCAAGTTGCTGGGCTCAAGCAATCCTTCCACTTCAGCCTTCCAAGTAGCTGAAACTACTGGCACACACCACCATGCCTGGTTAATTTTTTGATTTATTGCACAGTTGAGGTCTCACCAAGTTGCCCAAGCTGGTCTCAAACCCGAGGACTCAGGCCTTCCTCTCACCTTGGCCTCCCAAAATGCTAGGATTATAGGCATGAGCCACCACACCCAGCCAGAGCTGTCCATTTAAAATATAACTTATTGAAATATGATTTTTAAGAGTTTTTTGTTTGTTTTGTTTCTAAAGAAAACTTTAAAAACATATATTGCCTGGGCTGGTCTGGGCCCCTGGCTTCACGTGATCCTCCTGCCTCAGCCTCTCAAAGTGCTAAGATTATGGCACGCTTTTTGTGTGTGTGAGCCACCACGCTCAGCCTGATCATAAGAGTTTTTTGTTTAAACACTTGTTTTTGTATTTATATTGCTAGTTTTAATGCCTTGATTTAACTTACTAAAAAATAACTTGTTTTTTTAGCATAGAAAAATGAGAAGAAAATTAAAATGGCACATTGACCATATACTCACTACCCAGTTGACTTCTATTGACATTAAAAAGGAAAGAGGAAAAAATTACATTAAAAAAATTCAAACAAAGAGTAGTATAAAACAAAAAGTAAAATCTTTTCTTTTTTTTAACCTGCCTTTCCTTCTCACCCTGTTCACCAGTCTCTCCTCAAATGTAACAATGTTTTAACTTTTTTTCTTTGGCAACTCGCATTCCAAATTTTATTGAATGGAAAAAGCAACTTGAAGAAGAATGCACACAGTACACCATTTATAGTTGTTTAGAATATGCAAAGTAAATCTCTGTATTGTTTAGGAATGCATACATACATAATAAAACCTAAATGCAATCATGGGAATAATGAAGACTAAATTCAGGTTACTGGGTACTTTCAGGGGAAGAGTACATGATAGATTGAGAAGCCTATTCATGGGGCTCCCATCATGTTTTTTTTAAGCTAAGAGACTTGTCGTGGATATTCATTATTTTTTTAATAATCTCTGTATGTTTGAAATATTAGTAGTAAAACATATGTATATATGGATAGGAGAGTTGATAGGTAACTAGATGGATGGATGGATGGATGGATGGATGGGTGGATGAATGGATCAACACCAAGATCTTAGGAGTTTTACTTTTTCCTCTTATTTTTAGTTGGCACGTAATAATTATACATATTTATGGGACACAATGTGATAGTTCAATACATGTGTATAATGTGTAATGATCAAATCAAATTAGCATGTCTGCTTCCTCAAACATTTATTGTATCTTTGTGCTAGAAAAATTCAAAATCTTTTATTCTTGCTTTTTGAAAATATACAATAAGTTATTGTTAACTCTCTTCACCCTGCAGTGCTGTAGAGTACTGGAGCTATTCCTCCTACCCAGCTGTCACTCTGATTCCATCAACCAACCCCTCCCTGTCCTCCTCTCCCCACCACCCTTCCCTGCCTCTCATAACCACAGTTCTTCTCTACTTCTATGAGCTCAATTTTTTGTGCTTCTACTTATGAGTGAGAACTTGCAGTTCTTTTCTTTCTGTGCTTGACTTAATGTAATATCC